CTTTGTCAAATTAGGGGGAAATGTCAAAGTAGAGGAAAGTGTGTGGTTTTGCTCAGGTGCCTGAGGCCACTGGTGGGTGGATGCAGGGGACAGGAGGCAGCTGGGCAGGGTTTCAGCTCCTCCTCTTAGCAGGACTGAGGTTAGCACCCATTTCCTTTGCGATTCAAGTATTCTAAGATAGGGAGAGTTGAGAGATTTCAATTTTCCAGTTTCAAAACCAATCTTCGACATGTTTTCTTTACCTTTCAAATCAATGAATGGCTTTTTTCCAAAAACAAAAGTTGGAAACTGATTGAATTACCACTCCATTATTGTTTTTTCAGTACTGTTGTTGTTAATACAATCGCCGACTTGATTGTGACGTGAACTGGGTACCCAGCTCTGTGCCCAGTGCAAATAGGTAGATTCATTTTCCCATTCAGCTCTCACCCCACCTTGTGGAGCAGGTATGATTGTTACCCACGTGCACAGTTGAGGAGACTGGTGGTTGGGGACGTGATGAAATTGCTAAAATTCCCATGGCTTATTGGACACAAAAAAATTGGAGAAGGGCTTTGAGCTCAGGCAAGAGATCTGAAGCATTGTGCTATAATGCTTCTCCTTAAAACAGACAAACAATGCTATGCCTGTGTGTGTGTGTGTGTGTGTGTGTGTGTGTGCATATGTGCACACTTGTGCCTATGTGTGAAGGGCAGGTACCCTTCTGGGTATAGTTTGGAAGTCACTGCTCTGGGCCTCCATGGATGGGGTTTTCAGCCTGGACCCGTCAAGATGACCTGTCTTCTGCTTGGCCCAGCTGCTGCCCTCTCTCCATTCCTCCCCCACCCCCCACCCCAATCTTGCTGGCTCCCATAGCACAGCAGCTCCCATTCATTCTCTCCTTTCTCCATCAGCTCCAGCTGGCTCCACGAATCTTGAGAGTAGTGATGCATTACTCCAAGTTTCAAAATCATTACCCATCAAGAGTAAGTTTGAAACACCCAAACAGACCACGTGAAAACACTCGCTCAGTCTTTCAGGGCGTGGGCCAGGGGTAGATTCTGTTGACGTTTTTTAAAAACAAAAGGCTGAAAATAAATTGGCTTCTTTTCCAACTCATTTCCTGAGTTTGGATGGAAAGAACCCATTATGTCCTAATGTTGTTGGTTTTGTTCGTTTTTGGTTTTGTTTGATTTTATCTCGTGTCTGTGTTTCCTCCTGGCATCCTTCAACTTCTTTGCCTAATATCACCAGTTTTCTTTGAAGGCCTTAGAGTTAGCTTTTGGTCTGAACTACTTTAAGGTTCTGAATCTTTAGATAATTACTTAACATCTCTGAGCCTCATTGCCACCCGTATGTGAGATGCACCTCCCAGGACCTATAGGAGGTCAAAGGAGGAACTCCAGTCTCGAGCTCCCAGCCTTCTCTCATCACTTCCCTCCTGTGTGGGAGATGCCTCACTGCTTGGGAATCCTCAGCAAACAGGGGACATCGGTAGAAAGAAAGCATTTGGGGATCAATTTCTTGATAAACTCATTCATTCTACAACAATATAATGAGCATCTGGCATCTGCGAAGCACTGTGTCTGGCAAGAGAGAAACTCTAGCAGGTTCCGGACAAGTCATCATTCTTGCCACCAGCATAACCGATAAAAACCTCCCAGAGTGACAAATGCAGTGACACTGAAAGAGGCATTTCTGTGTTTGGGAGGCCCTGGAAGGTTCTCAGGAGGAAGTGATGTCTCAGCTGAGAACTAGGATGAGAAGGGCTCGGTCTGGCCTCACGGGTCTTACCAGGCACTGTGATCTGTGAGTAGGATCTTTAGTAGAGTGATCTCCATGGACTTGATTTTTTTCCTCTGCGTTAAGTGCTGACCTTTCAACTCCTGCATAAGATGATGCTGTTCAGATTGGCCCCGTCTTGATTTGGGAGCTATCGGTGTCTAAAAGGGGCAAGATGGGGAGGGAGACTTCCTGGGCCTGGGAAGCCAAGAATGCATCTCTGGAGAGGTGGAGTGAGTGGCAGGAAGGGGAGCTGGACTGAAAAGCAGATTTGGTCTCTCTTTTGGTCTTCTAAATGCATGACCCATACTTTGATAGGTGTGAATGGCAGATGCAAATGACTTTGCTGTTTGGCCAATGGGTGTTTGTTGTGTACCAAGCACGTGCAAGGCCTTGGGATAGACATAGAGATCCATCTACCAGCATCCCTGACTTCAAGAGGCTCAAAACAAGGGGCAAAGGGACCTACACTTTCTAGAAAGCCCTTTATGTGGCAGGCATAGTACCTGGCAAATCCAGTCCATTATGTCCTCTGAGATCATTCCTTCTACACGATAGATATGGAGAATAAAGCTTGATTTTGTGTAGAGCATGCCTGGGAGGAGGGGACATGGGGTTTTGAATCAGGTTTGTCACATTCCAGAGCCCTCTTGTCTTTCCTCATTAGCAAAGATAAGACAGGCAATACAAGTGGTCACCTCTTTTCCCAGGTATCACCTTTTAAAATGATAAGTATAAATGCTATTACCTTTGAAAACTTTGTCCTAGGCACTTTGCAGCCTTATTACCTGCTATTTCCCTCCATGTCTGATTGGGTTGAACTGGGTGGGCTGGTTTGAGGCTCCCAGGTGTGCCTCCCTACCTGATTGCCTACTACCAACATATTTCTCCTTGTTGAACTGCCCCATCAATCTAGACTACCCACTTCATAAAGCTTCCTTAGCCAACCCTTGTATTGGTTATGATCACAAAACAATACTTGAGGTACCTGTCTTAACTTCCTTTTTTAGAATTCAAATTCTTTCAGAGAGCGGAACTTGGAGTTATTATGAGGATTAGTGATGTATGTTAAGTGCCTCTTACTGGTAGGTGTGGAAAATGGAAGCTATTATTATTTTTTTATCTTTGACTGTCTTGGCGCTCCCAGCATTGCCTTTGTACAGTGCTTGGCAAATGCTGGGATAATTCTGTGGAAGCCAAGAGCAAAAGTTGCTTTCTTCTGGCCTCTGAAGGCACCCTCTGCTGATAGAGCTAGTTGGGCTTCTGGGTAGAAGCCAGTGGTGTCCATCGGGTGTTTCTTCCCCCTTAGCTTTGATCCTTGCACTCTCAATGGGTTATTTTCTGCTCCTGCGAAAGACTCCTCAGTCCAGTTCATTTGACAACAGTTCTAATGAGGACCATGGGCCAGGGCACACCCACAGCTCACTATGCTTTGTGCCTGTAGATGAAGCCTCTGCCCTTGGCTACTGCCTAGAGAGTGTGAGTGATAGGTCAGTGGCGATAGGGTCCATGTATGAGAAAGTGGATGGTCAGCGCACATTCATCACAGCTTTTGGAGGGAACGCAGGGCACTGCTTTAGATACAGGGATGCAGTGGGGAAGCTTACAAAGAATCTGCCTTTGGGGAGCCGACATTCGGAAGGTTATCACTCATTTCTCACCACCACCTCCTGAGAGAGGTGCTCTGATTATTCCTCCTCTATAGCTACACAGTTAGCTGGCTCTTCTCCCGACTTATATGATCTAACCCACACATGTAAATATCTCTGTTGATCCATATAGTCCTACTTATGCATGTCTATCTCTATATGTGACTATGTATATATCGGTGTATGAATATTTTGTTTTTTCCAATTTGATTCATAATGCTCATTTTAAAAAGAGAATTTGGAAAATGCATACGGTGAAAAGAAGTGATCCATTCACCCATTACCTGGGGTCATGGCTGTCATTCTGCTCTATTTGCTTTCAGATGAATAGATGTCAGTACACATCTAGGCAGGATCATGCTGTGGGTCCTGTGTGGCATGCTGTTTCTTCACTTAACACCTAACACTACCATGCATGTTTCCATTTGGACAGAGATGAAACAGGTCATAGGGATCCTGGACTTGAAACAGCTGTGCTTTATTTATTTATTTATTTATTTATTTAAACTTGTGATCTGTTAGCCAATCAGTGGCTTGGCTTCCTGGGTGCAGTGACTGTAATGGGAAAGCAGGTGTGGAACTGAGGGTAACTGGGAAGCATTGCACTTCCTGGAGATGCCTTTCCTCCAATCCCCTCCAGTGAAAAGCTGATCAAAGTCCTCCTGAGGGTCTTCAGAATCTACAAAAACTGGCCGGGGCATGAACAACATGGGGATCCTGGGAAATAAACTTGCATGGCCATTTCCCCCTCAAATAGCCACTGTGTCCTAGGTGAGAGAGCCAGGCAGGCGTTAGCCCATGGATAGATGAAGAAGCCCTGAGTCCAGTAGATTGGCCTGAGGCTACATGGGGACTGTGAATAGCAGAGTCTGAATCAGTCTCTCCTGTTTCCTGGGGAGTTGTCTCCAGACTGAGCCCACAGTTGAGCCATTAACATGGTGCTAATGCTGCTTTCACTGTCCCCTCCTCCCTTCCTTCTTCTTTGAAGACCTTGTGTCTGATCTTATGGTTTAGCTGCATGATTATGCATTTACATTTTAGAAGTCCAATGTGCTATCCATTGCGCTACCAAGCCACCTTGCATTTACATTTTAAAAGGCACATCTTTAAAGGAACTTCAGTGCTAGACAATGGGGGTAACAGCAAAGATAGTGACAGTTCTAAGAGCTGATGGTCATTGACCATTTACTGTTTGCCATATTTTATAAGCCTCTGGCCATTTATACCTCAACAAGCCCATGAATCTGGTAAACGGGAGACCTGAGATTTGAACCTGGATCCTGATATCTTTAAAGCTTGACCTCAGCCAAGATGTTGCAGTGCCCACAGAGGGGAAAGGAAAAAACATAAGGGGCAGAGCCCTCAAGCTCTTGGGATGCTTTTTTTGTAACTGTTAAGACTCTGGTTATATGCATCTGGTCACAAAATAACACAATAATCCAAAGCTTTTAACTTGAGACCCCCAAGCCTCACAGAAAGTTCCTTCTACAGAGTTCCCCTCCCTGTCCATCCCACTCAAGCTATATTTTTCTAACCCACTGCCTATCGCAAACCCTTTCCTGACACGTGTTTATGCTTCTTTACCCACAGGAGGAAATATAAGAAAACATCCCAGAGGTAAGAGCCTCTTTCTGAGATAAGGGCAGATTTGGGGCACAACTCTGCAAATTTGGCTCATGGTGGACGTTCCTTTGCAATAAATTGTCTCTTGGTCCCTTCTCAGTTGCCAGCTTTATCTCGGGTTGCTATTGCTGTTGTAATTAAAAATTGATCGTAGGCATTCAACATGGCACGGTGAGTGTCTACATTTGCATGGGAGTGGACCTGGGGAATCTGACCTGCTGAGCTGTCTGGTGATTTTGCTAAAAACTTGGCCAGAGAGGGGCTGTGTATTGGAGGTGGAGGGTGTGTTGCAGGTTTATGGATGAGAGCACAAAAGGGTCTTTACATGTATTAGTGTTTGAATTCTCCTTTGCCTAAAATTATTCTTTGCCCATTTTGCTGACAAAGTTCTGTTGAGCTCAAAGCATAGGTACAAATTCCTTGAAGGGCAGTGATATCTTTTCTATTTCACTGTGGAAAGGGCAATTTAAAGAAGAGTCTCATCCATCATCGCCCTCCATTTCTCTGTTTTATTGAGGGCGATGGACAGCATGTGCCAAAGGAGTAGAGTTGCCTAGGCCATTTGTCCACCAAGCATTGAAAGCCCACACCTTAGTCTCAAAGGCTCATGTGTGCTTTTCAGTGATTGTATTTGACTTTGGTATCATAGCTTTAAACAGATGACATTCAGGTCAAGAATCACCGAGGCAGTTATAATGCCAAAAGGTATTGACAAAGTGGTCATGCTTTCAAATGACCACGTGAATGTTACCTTTTCTGATGAGTCAAGTTTGGAGTTACTAAGTTAATTGTTTTTGAAAGCATTATTTTTGTATATCATTTTATAGCAGAGACTCTTGTGTCGTATGGTTTCCAAATAAAGTCAATAGTCTACAGTGGTAGTGTGATAATTTGATATGCATTTTAGAGGTGCACAAATCTTTGAGAGAAATTTTTGACTTTAAAGCTTCCCAGAGATTTCTGGTCTTTCCTAAATATAGTGAGCTTATACAGATGGCTAAATAATTTTGTCTTGTTCAGGTTCATCGGACACATGGTAGTAATTGAATATGAACCACTGAGCAGGATGTAAATTAAACACTCAAGTGAGGTAATTTATCACTTTGATGTGTAGTTAACCTGGGGTATGAGATGCTTCAAAGTTGTCTCAGCTTTATTTTAAGGAGAGCTCAATGGACAAGTAAGAGAGAGTCTTATAAGAGACTTGCTCGGATCTGTTCAGTTTCAAATTACTATGTTGATTATTTTTGAAAGCATATTTTTGCATATTTGATGAGAATGCTGTTGCATATTTGATGTATGTTGTTTTTTATATTGACGTAAAAAACAACACCCAGATTGTCTTGTACCAGTTTCACTGAAGTCATATAAAGTACAAAGTATTAATAGTAGAGGATTGATTTGAACTATCTTTTTGATTACCCACCTATTTTCATATGAGATAGATCCATGTCTACTAATCTATGGTTGAGTAGTAAACCATTCTAAACTAATGGTTTAAAACAGCTTTTCTTATTTTCTCATGATTTTATGTTAGTGAATGGTGTGATTGGTTAGCATAACCAAAGACAGAGGTACAAATAAAGACATAGTCACAAATCCGAGGACCTCTGCAGACACATGTCCAGTTTTCTATGCTCATTTTATAAACCTAGAAATATTTCTATGTGTAATTGAAGTTAGCCAAAGGCATCTCTCATCTTTTGATAATCATATAATACCAGTAGTCACCTGCTAGTACTTTACATAAATTTTTCCATTTACTTAGTACTTACTATTGCCATATATTTAACTAAATATTGGAAGTAGATCTGTAAGATATACCCTCTGCAAAGATGTACACGGGCTTGTAGGTTAGACATAGATGAACAAAATAGTTATAATAGCAGTTGGTAAACTCTGTAAGAGATATCAGTATTGAAGGTCATTGAGGACAATTAGGTCTGTTGGGAGGAACTTACATTATACTAGAGGCCTGGTGCACAAACTCGAGTACCAGGGGGGGTCTCTCGGCCTGGCCTGTGGGATTGGGCCGAAACTAGCTCTCGGACATCCCCCAAGGGGTCCCATATTGTGAGAGGACACAGGCTAGGTCAAGGGACTCCACTGGTGCACAATTGGGGCCAGGGAGGGATGTAGGAGGTTGGCCAGCCAGGGAGGTACTGTGGAAAGGCTCCAGGGCATGTCTGGCCCCTCTCGCCCTATCACCCTGATCTAACCTACTGGTTACCTACTGGTCGGAATGTCTTGTCCCCTGGTGGTCAGTGCATGCCATAGTGAGCGGTTGAGCAGCCTTAGCATATTACACTTTGATTGGTTGAATGGCCGACCAGACACTTAGTATATTAGGCTTTTATTATATAGGATAACCACTTCTCTCACTAGATCACAAAGATAGCCTACTCTATTGCTTATTATTTATAGTGCTTGAAAATATTATAAAGTCTAGAAGGATAGTTTAGAATCCTTTCTTTTTGTTTTCTTCATGTTTTTAATTCTTTAAAAATTGTATATCTTGCTGATTATTTAGGCGTTTTCTCAAAAGGGCAAATGGTTGAAAAATATTTTGGACATTAGGAGGAAGACAGCCTAGGACACAAACATATGTGGAGACAATTGGTCATGTGGATATCATACATGTAGGTAATAGAATGACTTCTCTCTGTTGTAAGGCAAACTAAGAGTTATTTTCCCTCCCAAGTGTCTAATGCCTTCTCTCACTTGGATTTTTATGTAATCACATTTGATGAGCCCAATAATTGATTAAATCCAGCAAATAATTCCCTTAGCCAAAACTGTCCATGATCAGCCTTCATGAATTAGCATACTTATGAGTCATCAACAGCACCACCACCTTTGCTGTTAAAAATAGATTTTCATCTGTAGGGGGTGGAAAGTGAGTGGATATCACCCTTCGGGAAAGTTGCCTTCTAAGTAGCTGTATCACTTTGTTAGCAGGTGCATCTTCTGCTGAATTATGCCCCTGTTTCATTCTTAGGATATGTTAAGACTTGTGAATTCTGAAACTCTTTTGGCACCTTTAACATAGAATTGTGGACTGTTGTCCTCTACCTTTGCAATTAAAAATGACAGCTAAATAACTGGTTGGGGAAGGTAAAGTGGTGATAGGATAAATCAAGGCACATATTTTTACATACTTATGGATAACCAATCTCTCATACTACTACTTCCTTAGTAGTATGGACATTTAGCACCTAAGGATTAGTAATGCAATCAGGTACAAGAGGATCCTCCAAACAATGAAGTCCTTCAAAAAGTATTTTCCTGTATTTGTGGTGACTAATACATTCTTGAAGAAGGAACATGTGCATCAGCTATGAGAATATGCCCAGTTTACATTTCGAGATTGACAACTAAATCAGTGCAATTTTGCAGTGAGTGATATGATGTCACAGTAGACTAGAAAGAGTCTTTTTAGAATGCAGATCACAGGTGGACACATTATCCACAAAGGGTAATGCCCAAGGCAGTTAATATGGGAAAGGGCCTATAAATACTACTGTATTAGCCAGGGGAAAAAGGATGGTGAGGGAGTCTGCTTAGATAGTTTGGTTAGAGTTTGGAGTATCAGCAACTGCCACTCACTCATGCCTTACAGTCACTCTCCAGCTGTGTCAGCAGGAGTGTGGGGAGCAGATGTAGGGAGATAGATCCAGAAAGACTGTGCAGCAGGAGTTAGGAATTAGATATGGTGAGAGAGGGTGCTGAGATGTAGTAAGTAGTTCAGGAACTGAGTCTGGTATTAGTAGCAGGAATGAACTTGGTGTTGAGCTGATATTTTCTGAGTCCAGAGAATTATCTTGACACAATTCAATCTTCTTCCCTCTTGTATTTTCAAGTCTGATAATTACTACTATTCTCCAACTCACTTAGGATTCAAACTTTTGAGTCAATTTATATGTTCTTCTTTTGTGTGTATTTCTTCAACTTGATCTTGACCTTTTTCTTCTCCTCTGTCACCCATGATACATGAGTCTCTTACAGGTTGTGGGCTTTTCCTTCTCATTGTTTTCATTCCCATGGTCCAGTCTCATTTCCCATATGCCCCACTGACTGTCATATCAGAATTGCCTTGTGTTTTCTATCACCCTTATTCATGGATGTTTTCTTTTTATGTGCTGAAATCCCATCTTTCTTCAAGATCCAATTCAAAGACCATTTTTTTTTGTTTTTGTTTCATGGAGCCTTCTTGATCTTTCCACCTAAAAGAGATCTTGCTCTTCCAATTACTGTTGTCCTGATTCTGTGTACAAGAGTTAGTTGGGTGCATTCTTCTTGACATCATTGTGATTTTATTGAGTAGGGAATATGTTCCCCAAAGCATGGTGCCCTGGACATAATTATTAAATGTGGATTGAATTTATGAGTGAATCAGATTGGGATGCTCCATATATTTCTACCATGAGTCAGAACTAAAGTCAGAATTACTAGGTGAAACTGTGGATAAATAAGCAGAGATTGATAGATGACTCATAAGTGTTTTTTTGCAGATCACCAAATACTCCCACATTCAGGCTCAGTTTGGCCTTCCTACTAGCCAGGGTGGAGTCCTATGAGGTCAGCAAGCCAGATGGCATGCATGGGCAAGAATCAGAAAGTACATAATTGCTTGCTTGGATCATTGACTCTGATTTTCTTTTCTATTTAAGTTATTCTAACATGGAATTCTAGCTTTGGGTGGAAACTCTGAGAATACTTTCATTCTATATCAATGCTTCAATTTCTATATTTTGTTCATTTAAATCACAAATTCTGGAGGTATTCAATGCAGGGTCAAATATCTAGTATATTTATTTAAGGTCTATTGGAATGCATATCTAATAATTGCATGGTGTACATTATTTGGTTGTTCTATGTTATTTTGCCAAGATAGTTTGAGAACCGTTTTCTTAGATTGTCTAATAAGGCCCACTTATGTCTTTAAAACATTGGTAGCACTCACGTTGGGCATATCACTGTGCTTTAAAGTTAAA